CAGGGCCCGGACCCTTTTCCCAGAGGGGAGCTGCGCCAGAGAGTTAACAGGATACAGGATCAGTCCTCAGCGTGCAAACGGGACAGGCAAACGCGTGGGAGTCACGAACTCGAGAGGGAAGGGATCGAGTCCAAATCCATTAGTCCGATTATTTGGGGGGGAGGGGTGGGTGGGGGGCACCTCATCGACTTCTTGCTAGAGAAAGCAAAGTGTATCGGGAGTAAAAATTCAAATGCCAAAGGCACGGAGGAGAAAGAAAGTAAAAGTCTAACGCCACTAGAAAAAAAAACAAACGAAAACGAAGAACCTGCTGACAGTATAGAACACGCGGCCGATTTAAAGAGCGTCCAGTTTTAATACCATGTAAAAAAAAAAAAAGATAATAATTTCTACCAGGTTTTCCTATGTACTTGTATTTTAAGGGAAGTACAGTCACCTTATTTATAATCAAAATAAAAAGATAGTTTATTGTGTACAAGTTGTAGTTTGAATTAACTTTCTTTATCAGGCTGTGTTTAATTTTCTACACATACCCAATCCCTGGAAGCACACTCACGGACACGGCCACGCAGGTTCCCCTGCACAGCCCGACCCCTTCCCCAGGCGGAGGTTAGCTGCAGGCTGTGGCTCGGCGGAACGCAGACGGGGTTTGGTTGTTTTGGGTCGTGTTTTTTGGTGGAGGTTTGGGGATTTTTTGGGGTTTTATTTTTAGTGGTGCTGTTTTCTTTTGTTTTGTTTAGCGATTTGGGAAGTTTGTAAAGAACGAGATGAGTAGAAAGTGTGTGTACACGCACGTGTGTGTGTGCGCGTGGGTGCGCGCCTCATTGAGACACCGAGGGGAGGCTGGTAGGAAGGTAAATATTATGGGTAATGTAAGGCAGTTAGATATTAACTTTTCTGTAAATATATACAAATTATGAAGATAAATAACTTGTATCGTACAAGACCGAAATCCCTGTAATTCACTGTCTTTCAGGTCCCAAATATATAATGTGTGAGTGTAACAAAAAAAAGAAGTCTCCCATCCTAAAAGACATTGTAGCGTGTTTTCCTTCGAATCTGCTGCTCGGTTTCGCTTGGTTTTTTTCTCCAAATTCTCTCAGTTAAACCACGAAAGCGGATCGCAGTCATTGAAACACCTCTGAATTACAGAGGTGTTATGAAATACTCTTATTTTTTAAGAGAAAGAAAGCAGCTTGCCTACAATGGAAACAACCCAACCTCCAATTTAAGTAGCAGCTTTCGAAAGCTCCAGTCTTTTATTTATACAAGATAACTGGTGTTAGTCGGACACCAAGTGCTAGTCTGGATGGAGAAAAAGGGAAATAGACGGAGAAAAAAAAAAATTATCGGATTCTTTCTGCCCCCTCCCCCCTTATTTCTAACTGGAGGACATCACGTGTGTCAATAGGAATTTCGAGATTTTCCATTCTTTATATTATATCCTGCTTTATACAGCGATATTTTCAACTAACCCAAAGAATATTCTTTTATTTTGTTGGGATTGTTTGTTCTTTTTCTACGCAGAATATTCGTTTCAGATCTATAGCATCATGTTAAGCATGGAGGGGGGTGGGGGGT